GCTCCCCACACCTTGGACGACCAAATATAGACCACGCACCCACACCTTGGAGGATCCAGTAAGGACCACGACCCCCACACCTTATTGGACCCAATATACACCACGCCCGGAGATAGCAACATCTGCGGATGCTGGTGTCAGAGAAGTGTGGACCTAAAGGAACACAGCAGGTCAGGCAACATCAGAGGAGTAGGTAAATCGACGTCTCGGGCCTAGACCATGCAGCGGGATGAAGGTCCTGAGAAGGGTCTAGGCCCGAATTGTTGATTTATGGAATACACCCCTTCACCATGGAGGACCCTGTAAAGACCAAAGACCACGCCCCTTCGTCCAAATATAGACCCTGCCCCAGATCTTGGAGGAGGACCCACTAAAGACCACGACTCCCCCAACACACTTTGGAGGAGCCACTAAAGACCACACCTCCATCACCTTGGAGGACCCAATGTAGACCCTGTACCCCACACCTTGGAGGACCCAATATAGACCACGCCCCTAAGGCTTAGACGCCCCATTGTTACCCAGGCCCCAGTCCTTGGACGACCCAATGTGCACGCCCCCTTCAGCTTTGGAGGACCCAGTTCAACATCGCCCCCCACAATCCTTGGAGGTCTGCGTATAGACCACGCCCCCACTCCCTGGAGGACCCCGTAAAGACCACGCCCCCAGGCCTTGGAGGACTCACAAAGCGCCGCCCCCTGCGACGACCACCTCCCCCCCACCAAAGGAGCAATTGTGTGTTTCAAAAACAAAAATATAGACTTTAATGCAGGTGCATATTTAATTTAAAAACGTGCTATTTCTATAGTTTGTTTTGTTGTTGACAACGGTAACGCTGTGTCTTCCCAAGACTTGCAGCTTAACCATGGCAACCGATCTAAAACATTTATTCGTACGTTTCAGCCTTTAGCTTTAACGATTTTAAATTCCTGTCAGGTGCAGGAGGTGCAGTTCAAGGATTTGGAGGGAATTCAAAAACTATAATTTGTTTTTTTTTAAGAAAAGGTGACGGTTGGAGAAACCGGAAGTCCGGCCGCCTCGCGCTTCCTTTTTCAAACAATAACGACCGTTACGGGTTCTTTATTTTTAAAAAAAAAGTGAACGCAGCCTGCACAGACAGGGGCGATCTACATCGGATGGCGTCAACCCACGTTTAGTGAGTGAAATGTTTTTTCATTAAACTGTGTTTTGTGGAAGACGCGGGATCATGACCTCTATTCTCAAGTGCGTCCCTCCCATGGCAACCCATCTCCGCAGCAAACCATTACCAGGGCAACCAGCCTATCCCCATGGCAACCCAGCACCAGGGCAAACACCTATCTCCATGGCAACCTGCCTACCCTCATGTTTACCCATCCGCCTACCAGAGCAACCTGCCCATCCCCATGGCAACCCATCACCAGAGAAACCCACATATCACGGTGGCAAGGCATTTCTCCCCATGGCAACCCCCATATATCAGCATGTAACTACATGGCAATCTGCCAGTCCGCATGGCAACCCATCGCAAGGGAAACCCACCAATCTCCATTGCAGAGATAGGAAGAACTGCCGATGCTGGAGTCAGAGATAACACAGCGTGGAGCTGGAGGAACACAGCAGGCCAGGGGCATCAGAGGAGCAGGAAAGCTTTTTGTCCACATTGAGACCATTGGGCTGTAGGCTCCAAAGGCGGAATATGAGGTGCTGCTCCTCCAGTTTCCGAGTGGCGTCACTGTGACACTGGAGGAGGCCCAGGATGGACATGGCCTCCATTGCAATCCACCGATTCCCCGTCACCAACTGCTTTTCATTACTGTTTCAATACAGACGCTCACACACAGACTGTCACTGGCATACAGGCTCCCACATGCACACACTGATTGTCAGTGGGCTACAGAGTCCCCCCAACACACACACACACACACACAGGGGTACAAGTTCCCCCCGCCCCACACACACACACTCTCACTAGGGTACAGGCTCTCTCTCTCTGTCTCACACACACACACTCACTGGTGTACAAGCACTCACACACAGACTGTCACTGGCATACAGGCTCCCACACACACAAACACACTGATTGGCAGTGGGCTACAGGGTCCCCCCAACACACACACACAGGGGTACAGGCTCACACATACATACACACACACACACCCTCACTGAGGTACAGCTATCTCACACTCACACAGACTCTCACTGGGATATTTGCTCCCACACGCGCACACAGACTGTCGCTGGGCTACAGGGTCCCACAAATACAGACATTGACACACACACAGACTCTCACTGGGGTACAGGGTCCAACACACACACTGTGCAACCTTTCTACACAAATCCAGCTATCGTGGATGCTTGCTTTTTGTTCTCTGATCCTCAGATGACGACTTCCTTGAGTGAATCCACCAGAATGTCTCATAGTGACAATGACTCCTGTGAAGGTTCTTGGCGGATGTTACTGGCTCCATGCGAATGCATTGACTGGTTGTGGTGGCCAGCAGATTCAGACCCACCAGGCCTTACTGACATCAGCGTGTCTCCCTGAGTGCTGACCCTCCGACAGTGCGGTGCTCCCTCAGCGCTGACCCTCCGACAGTGCGACGCTCCCTCAGTGAGATGTTGAGCTATGCCTGACCACTGCCCTTTCAAAAGCCACTTTGGGAACAGTGAGGAAGTGAAACATGCACTCTTTAAACAAACTTTGCCATATTAAATAGGAGTTTTGGGAGCTTACTCTCTGTGTGAGGACCCTGGGCTGGCCTCCCCACATCCTCTCTGCAGCTATCCTCACTGGGACAGCTCCCCTACCTTGACTGAAATCTGTTGCTGCGGAATTCCTCATCTCACTTCTGGTGGAAAGCTGTTTGCCTGGGTCCACATGTGCCCTTCACCCACTAAGTTAAGCTGACCTGAAAACATGCCCAGGTCCTACAAGAGCTCACTGCAACCGCCCTCTCCTCTACACTCCCCTCCTCGTTCACCTCTCCCAATGCTGCTGTGCATCAGTACATGAACAAGAGTGCTTCAAAACTCACAGACTTGCTAACTCACTCTCTCTCTCTCTCACTCACACTAGCATGTGCACTCTCTCTCACTGTCACACACACATATACACACACACACGCTCTGTCACATACTCACACACATTCTCTCACTCTTTCTCTCACACTGTCACACATTGTTAGACACACTCTATCTCACTGTCTCTCTCTCTCTCACACACTAGCACATGTGCGCTCTCTTTCTCTCACTGTCTCACACTAGCACATGTGCACTATCTCTGTCCCACAAATGCGCTCTGTCACACACACATACACACATTCTCTCACTCACACTCTCTCACTGACACACACACACAAACACACACTCTCTCTCTCGCTTGCACAGACACTCTGTCACACACACACTGTCTCTCTCACTTGCACAGACACTCTGTCACACACACACTCTCTCACTTGCATACACTTTCTGTCTCACACACTCCCTCTCTTTCTCTATCTGTCTCACACAGGCACTTATACACACATCCTCCAAACCTGGCAAAAAAAAATAAATTTTGCAGAATATACCTTAAAATATTTCATCCAACAGAAATATGTGCAGAAAATTTTTTAAAAAAATTCCCAGATTCTCCTAAATGTTTATCTGTGGCCAAAGTCACTTTGCACACAAACTGTTAGCAATGGGGTGTTTGCCTGGATCAGTTTCGAAAGGCTGAATTCACTTTTCTGGAGACAGTGTTGGTAGCTTCTGAATTCTCCTGTCGGAAGACCTCCACTTATGATGATGAGGTCTTCCAGTGGTTTTTTCAATTCACATGCTTTGATAAGGGGTGTGTGAAAGAAGGGAGAGAGGGCTAAGGGCTTTGGTCCAAGTAAGATATCCCTCTGACTGTTGTGTAATAATCCAAAACCGCATAAATTGGGACACCTGCCATGTTTCTGAAAATATTGTTGACACAGTATTTTTTTCCTTTCTGAATAAAAAGTCTTACTACACTCAAGACATTAACTCTGTTTCTCTCCACAGATGTTGCAGACTAGCTGGTTTTCTTCAGCATGTCCAAGTGAAGGCAATGGCCTAGTGGTATTGTCACTGGACTGTTAACCCAGAGACCCAGATCATGTTCTGGGGACCCCGGATAGAATCCTGCCATGGCACATGGTGGAATTTGAATTCAGCAAAATATCTGGAATTAAGGATCTAATGATGACCATGAATCGATTGCTGATTGTCAGGAAAAACCCATCTGGTTCACTAATGTCCTTCAGGGAAGGAAACTGCCATCCTTACCTGTCTGGCCTACATCCACAGCAATGTCGTTGACTCTTAAGTGCCCTCTGGGCAATTAGGGAAGGGCAATAAATGCTGCCTAGCCAGTGATTGCCTCATCTGGTGAATTAATAAAGGAAATTAGCTGTTATAGGCTACAGTGAGTGTGTGAGGAGTCGCACTGAGACTATGTTGATATGTTTCAAGGTGGCTGGTGGGATAGCATTTCTTTATGGAGAGAGTTTATTGACTTGCTCACTCTCATGCCTCTTCCCTTTCTACGCATGGTCGAGGACCATGACCATCCAACATGTGATTGAACAAACATCAGATCACCAGGCAGGTACACCTACAGGCCTCATCACCAATTCTGATCACCGTGCCAAATTCCAGGCCCAGCCTGTGTGGTATTTCCCCTGAGGGAGGGGGTGCATTGGGAGAGGGGGCAGTGAATCAAGCCGAAAAGGTGCCCAAAATGTACAGCTCGAGGGATGTAAATGTGTAGAGGCTGCAAGGAAAGCACAGGAAGAGAATGCAACTGACTGGATTGCTTTGGAGGAGGGCTAGCACGGTTGTCTGAGGCTGAGTGGCCTCTATCTGCACGGTTAGAAATCTGGGGCATCAGGACCCTTGGTCCTGTGTCTTTTACAGACAAAGATATGATTTAGAAGCAGCAGGAGGCCACACAGTCCCTTGAGCCTACTCTGCTACTCAGTGTGATGATGGATGGTCTAATTACTCTGCATTCCTGCCGTGCCTTATATATATCCTCTCCCCTCTTCTGTTAGTCTCTCCCACCTCTGCCTTAAAAAGATTCAGACTTTGCTTCCCCTTCCTTTTGAGGGAGAGAATTCCAAAGACGATGACCTTCTGAGAGAAGAAAGTTCTTTTCATCTCCGTTTTCAGTGCAAAACTCCTGATTTTTAACCCCTTGTCCCATCTCATTCTAGATTCTCGCACAAGAGGAAACAGCCTCTCCACATTACCCTGAACCCCCACCCCCCTCAGGATCTTAGATGTTTCAATCAAGTCTCCACTTTCTGTCCTAAACTCCATATGGATACAAACCCAGTCCTTCCACATAAGAGTGGTCTAGGAGCAGGCTTTTGGGACTCATTTTGTTTGGGATTATGGTCAGCATAGCCTGGTTGGACAGAAGGATCTGTTTCTGTGCTATACGTCTCTCCGATGATCCACCCCCATCCCAGGGATTAGTCTGGGTGATCCTTCACTGAACTGCCTCCAACACATTGACTTCCATCCTTATATGTGGAGACCAACACTGTCCACAGTACTGCTGTGCCTGAGAAGGTAGATATTGTCCTGGGATGTGGGAGACGTTGGCTAGGCCGGTATTCACTGGCCAACCCTAACCACCCCATGTCTGGGGCAGAAAAGAGTCAACTGGATCTGGAGTCAAAGACCAGATAAAGACAGTGGATTTCCTTCACATTCACGCTTAACATGTGTCATTGACTGGCTGTTAATTGCAGATTTTTTTAAATACACATTATCCCACTTGCCCTGGTGGGATTTGAACCCATATCCCCATTATCCCAGGTTTCAGGCCAATTAGTCCCATGACACTCCCACTGTAACATCACCTTAGTCCAGCCTCGAGACAGTCATGGAGATCCACAGCATGGAAACGGGCCCTTTGGCCCAACTTATCCATGCCACCCAGTTTTCACAATTTGAACTAGTCCCATTTGCCTGTGTTTGGTCCCTATCTCTCCATAACTATCCCATCCATGTACCTGTCTAAATGTTTCTTAAATGATGAAATTGTACTCACTTCCATCACTAGCTCTGGCAGCCCATTCCAGACACTCACCACCCTCTGTGTGTGAAACAAATTGCCCCTCTGGACCCTTTGGTATCTCTTCCCTGTCACCTTAAACCTATGCCCTCTGTTTTAGACTCCCCTACCATGGGGACAAGCTGTCCGCTTTCTACCTTATCTATGCCTCTCATGTTTTTATAGACTTCTATAAGGTCACCCCACAGTCTTCTATGCTCCAGGAGAAAGCTTCCCAGCCTATCCACATAACACAAACCTTCCAGTCCATTCTAAGGAAGGGTCACTTGACCCAAAACATTAACTCTAATTTCTTTCCACAGATGCAGCCAGACCTTTTCTGCACTCTTTCTAGTTTAATAATATCCTCTCTTATAGTAGGACGACCAGAACTGCATGCATTACTCCAAATGTGGCCTCACCAATGACTTGTACAGCTGCAAGAAGATGTTGCAACTCCTATACTCAACGCTCTGACCAATGAAAACTTCCTTCACCACTCTGTCTAACTGCTGTGAAGGAGCTGTGAACCTGTACCCCTAGTTCTCTTTGTTCTACAAGATTCCCTAGGGCTCTGCCATTTACACTGTAAGTCCTACCCTGGTTTGCTTCAACAAAATGCAACATCTTGCATTTATCTCAATGAAACTTGGTCAGCCCAGTGGCCCAGTTGATCAAGATCTCGCTGAATTCCCAGATAACCTTCTTCACTGTCCACTACCTTGGTGTCATTTGCAAACTTACAAACCGTACCTCCTAAATTCTCATCCAAATCATTTATATAAATGACGAATAACAGTGGACCCAGCACTGATAGGCAGTGGAAAATTACCTTCTCTCAGGTCTAATTGTAAAGGATAGGAGTGTCTCTGTCCTACAAACCCCTATCCCCTCCACATGGAGATTTAACAAGGTGGAGCTTGACAGAATATTTCCCCTCGTTCGAGGGAGGGGCACAGATTCAGAATAAGGGATCTCCCGCTTATGATGGAGATGACAAGTCTGTGGCGCACCCTTCCCCTGGAGAGCAGTGATGAGTGTTTTCAAGGTGAAGGTAGGTAGATTGTTGACTAACGTCAGTGAAAGGTGATTGAGAGTAGGCACTGACATCACTGATCATCCATGATCCTATCAAAGGGCAGAAGAGGCTCGAGGGGCTGAATGGACAACTCTTTATGGTTAATGTTTGCTGTTAGGCACATCTGACGGTCAGTGAGAGACTAATTGCTACCTTAAGGCCAGTTAAAGTCTAATTGTTATTTAGCACATCTTGGGATGAATTATTGTCGAGCACATCTTAAGGTCAGTCAGAAGTGAATTGCTGTTAGATGCATGCTCGGGGCAGCTAGAGGTTAATTGCTATGAGGCACACACACACAGGTAGTATAGGTATCACACATCTTGACACAAGAGTTACCATGCATACAACAAACACACATGCAATGCAGGTGTCTGATACCCAATGTCTGTCCACACAACCTGGGTATCCCTCAGTGTCTTGTACAAACAACTCCTCCCCCATTCCGCATGCTCCAGCAAGGCACAGCCATTGTGGCATAGCCCCAACATCCAGGAGAAGTGCCTGCCTTAGCCTCTCACTGGGCATGTCCCTTCTCTCCCCCAACATGTGTCAACAAACTCCGAGCCCTTGGAGGCTGTTGCTGAGTTCTGGCACAATGTTAAAAGCAAGCTGTCCACAGATTCCGCCCTCACTTGCGTACACTGCAGCGATCAGACGATAAGATTAGAGCGCAGCTTGGTCCTCGGTCCCGGGCACACAAGAAATGCGGGGATGCCACTCCAGATAAATTCCCCGAGACCGCAGCACTCTCAGTGAAGACCAGCACGGAGGTGACCGTTCGAGACGGCTGCGTCCTTTGGAGAGATCGGCTGGCCTTGATTCCTGAGCGGAGAAGGTAATCACCATCCGTTCCTGTTCCCAATTTACAAACTGGTCACTCTGGTGGGAAAGCGTATCACCAGGGAGGGAGACACGACAGACTGTGCAGTTTGCAACTGATCCAGGGGTACGGCTACACACAGCAATCTAATCGAGGGGTTCGGGGTGGTTTATATACAGAATAACAGATAGCCAGAAGGGAGTTACAGACTGGAATCTAATCGAGGGGTTCGGGGTGGTTTACATACAGAATAGCAGATACCCCGGGAGGGAGTTACAGACTGGAATCTAAGCGAGGGGGCTCGGGGTGGTTTATATACAGAATAGCAGATACCTGGGAGCAAGTTACAGACTGGAATCTAATTGAGGGGTTTTATGGGGCTGTGGGAGGCTTATATATGGAATAACAGAAACTGCACTATTGGAGAGCCAGTGCTGAGGGAGCTTCACACTGGCAGAGAGTAATTTACATTTCAGATGGTAAGTTCAAACAGGGCCCTCTCTGTCTCAGCTGGCAAAAAAATGCTTTGACTATGATTGGACCAAGAACGTGACCCTTGGTGGGAGGGTTTGATGGGGTGAGTGACCTGAGAGATGTCTCCGGTCTTCAGGGGTCAGTATGTATCCCTCAATCCTCACCGCTCAGACAGGCAATGGACTTGGTTTCATTTTCATATTGGTGGTTATGGGAGCTGTTGCTACATGAAAAATTTGGGTGCCCCCTCCCCTCACTGCTACAGAATGCCTGTGACTGCACTTTGAGACCCCTTCCCCAGCTCTGAGGTGGTGCAAGTTGCCAGAGAAGTGGATGTTCTTATGGAGCTTGGCACAAACTGGGACAGGGTAGGTGCCAGTGGTTGCCCAGAGACATAAACTCGCTAGCCCATTGCCTCTGTCTCCAAGGTTCCAAGATGAAAACGAAGCTGCTGCTCCTGACAACACTCGCTTTAGTGCTCCTCGTCTCTCTCACTCCTGAGGTCCAGGCTGGCGTAAGCTTCCATTCAAGGCCAACAGCGAAGGATAACAATCGCAGTGGCCATGCACGGGTGAGTGCCAGGGGCCTTTGGCACTGGTGGTGGGGGTGGGGACAGGGGCAGTCCTGGTGGGAAGGACACTGAATCATCAGCATGCAGGCTGCAGTGAATGAGGAGGAAGTGGGCAGGCTGGCTCCCTTCATCTCTGCAATTTTAATTCATTGCCAAGCCCAGAACGAGGGTCAGCGCTGAGGGAGCGCCACACTTCCCTCCACCCCTATCACCTCTCTCACTATCAACCCAAGACCCCATCCCCTGCCAGGTCCTCAATCTGTCTGCTCCCTCTGTGCTGCCACTCTTTCAGGAGCTAATGTCTTGTTCCCCGCTATCTCCTGCCCCTTTGATCTCTAAAATCGCCGGCATGCAGCCCCTGTCCAACTTGTCTTTGAGGGTGCTGCCTTGACCCATAGCCCAAGCAGTTGACTCCTTGACTGCCCTTCAGTCTGATGCTGCCTTTGGCCTGGATAAAGGTAGTGTACGAATCTCAGGGCCAGGGGTAGTGCCTGGTATTCCAGCTGTGTGCCCCAACAACAGGCCAATCATCTCAGTGGCAGGCTGTTTGGCGTGTTTCTGTAACTTGGCCATACTTGCTGAACAGTCCCAAGTGCAAGTATAGCTATGCTAGCAACCAGTTTAAGTTAAGCAGCCACAAAGGAAAGGAATATGGTCAAAACTCTGTTTCATTTAAATCCCCAAAAAGCCTATATCCAATAGCTATGCCATGGACAATCAGCGCACCCTTTCTCAAATAGTAGTGATAGAGGTTTATAGCGTGAAACAGGCCCTTTGGCCCAACTTATTCATGCTGCCCAGTTTTCACAATTAAACTAGTTCCATTTGCCTGTGTTTGATCCATGTCCATTCATTCCTAGCCCCTGCCTCTATGCACCTAAATGTTTAAATGACAAAATTATACTGTCTTCTACTACTGCCTCTGACAGGCTGTTCCAGACACTCAGCACCAACGTCTGTGAAACAAATTGCCCCTTTTGTATCTCTCCCCTCTCATCTCAAACCTATGCCTTCTAGTTTTAGACTCCCCTACCATGAGGAAAAGCTGTTGGCTATCTACCTTATCAATGCCTCTCATGATTTTATAGAATTTTACAAGGTTGCCCCTCAGTCTCCTACATACTAAAGAAAAAGATTGCATGAATGAATGAGCTTAATCGCAAGCACTGTACAAAAAGTAGTGAAAGTTAATAAGGCGCCACTTGCTGCAATTGTTTGAAATTTGCTATTCATACATTTGTCTCTACTCGCAGCATGATTTACGGTGCAGCCCAAGGTCAGCTCTAACACAGTTTCTTTCCCGTGTACCACAGAAAACCAATTCCAAGCGTCAGGTATACGATGATTTAACTCTACAGATGGACGAGGAGCAGAGCGACTCTGCAGCTGCGCAGGTGAGCTCACCATCCGAGCAAACTTTCTTAAAAAGAAACATGCCACTATCCATCCATAAAACAAAATACAGGAACTAAACCTGCATTGAGCCTCTGCTCTTGAGGTTGTTCAGGTGATTCAGTAGCCACAAAAGATCCACAAGCAGTTACCATAAACCTCTGGGTGTACTGTAGTCAGGAAAGCATTGACAGGTTGAGCCCCTGCTATCTCAGAATAAAGGAGGGGCAACCTAGCAGAGGTCTTTAAAGTAAGTACTGCTGTCAAGGCTTTCTGTCTTGCACGCAGCAGGCAGAAGGAAAGTATCTTTTCTACTTTACTGTTTTTTTTGATTGTGGAAGTTTTTGATTGTGAAAGGACTGTTTTAAAAAACTGAGGACTGTGGAAAGAATTGCTGCACTTTTTAAAAGCAGATTATCCGATTGTAAGTGTTGTTTACACAGCTGCTTGTTCGAGCAGTGGGGAAAGGTCAGTACAGACAAAGTGGTGTGTACGCAGGGAGACTCCCCCGGCAACAAACGGCTGATTGGTCTGTGGAATAGTGGTCACTTGTTGATGTCAAAGGCCTCTTGCCCGCCAACAGTGACGTGATATACTGTCCCACTACCTGGGAGCCAATGGGGATGAACATTTGGTTAGAAGTCATCAGACAACTGCAAAGGAAGGAGCTGTCCTTTTGTCTGCATTGGAAACATCTCAAGCCTGAAAAAAAAAAGTCTCTCTTTTCCCATGCCAACAGGTTATAAATTGTTTATCTACAGTGAGACCACGTAGTTGTTATTAAACAGCAATTCTTGTTTGGTATATAACAAGCTTTCTGTCAACCTGGCTGAGAGACAGCTATACAACTCCAGGAACAGCAAGGCTTGATTTCCCAGGATGCTATCCCAATGAGGCACGATACAGAACAGAACCTTGATTGAACCACATTTCAAAAAGGGAGCAACTGCTAATGCACGAGAAGGAAGTGTCATCATGTGGAAGCATTGCTGTGGAAGATGCACCAAGGGAATAGTTAGCTGGCTGTGATTTGAAATGACAAGAGGGGTTTGATATGAAATGTTTCATCTTGTGGGGAACAACAAAACATGAGGCTGTCTGTCCCAAAGAAATCCAAATGGGGAAATTCAGCTGACAGCTCAGAACACAGAGACTGTAGGTCCCACTCCCATGGGGAGCGATCAAGATGCTTAGTGTCCATATGTTTACTGGTGAGAGGGGTAAACAAGGGAGAGAGGAATGGAGGATTACAAAGGTCAATGAGGAAAGACAGGAGGACACTTGAGCAGATCAGAAACAGTGACATGTACTGGTTTGGGTGGATAGTCTGTCGCTCAGGAATCCAATATTTAAAAAGAGCTTTTCCGACCTCAAACCATCTTCCAGTAAACAATACTTCCCTCATGAGCCCTTGTGATTGTGCCTGCTTTGTTAACTGGTTCTGGTTCTTTAAAGGTCTTGTGCCTTGGTCACTGTTAGTCATGGGGTTTATTTCAGATGGAGGTACCATCCCGACTGGGACTTCAGATGAGTGAAGAGGACGCCAGGCAGTATGGAGAGATGTTGGCGCAGATACTCCATGGCCTCTTGGCATCAGACAGTGAGTCCGACGGCACGCTCTCACTCCCACCCCTCTTTTCCACCTGATTATCCCCCGAAAGCACCGACCTCTGGCTGTAACGGTTAAGTGTGACCTTGCGCACCAGCCTGACAACGAGCAGGCTGTTTGCATCATTCACTTATGTTTGTTCACTTGTATTGCAATGCTTTCAAAATATTCATCAACATAAAGCTTAAAAACCTGACTCCATCTTCCGCAGAGCACTCACTGTGTTGCTTCCAACACTCAAGCAGTTCGACACCACCTAGGACAAAGCAGCCCCCACCTTCCCTCTCGAAGAACACTCTACATCCTCCTCCCTGTTTACTCCCTCCACCACTGACAATTTGTACCATCTATAAGATGCACTGCAGTGCCTCGCCACAGCTTCTCTGAAAGCATCTTCCAAAAGCCTGCCACAACAAATTAACAAACAATACAGCCCCTTAAAGGGCCCTGGAAGCTGGAAGAAAGGTTTAGGTCCGAAAACGTCAGCTTTCCTGCACCTCTGATGCTGCTTGGCCTGCTGTGTTCATCCAGCTCTACACCTTGTTATCCCTGGAAATAAACATCTTGTAGGAAACTTCGAGCTAAAATGAAATGTCATTTTATGGCCCAACGATGCGCTCCAGCCACCATGGTGCCTACCAGTCAAGGAAAACCTCAAGTGCTCCCAGCAGACACTCCCCACTTCCAGATGCATTACAATTCCTGTTCTCTTGTACTTTTGATTAACTGTTCTCTCATTTTTCCCCATCCCAGGCCAAGAAAACTAAACCATCCCTCCCCGTGCCTCAGCAGAACTCAGAGGGTGTAGATGGAGAATGGAACTTCAAATCAGAAGTGATCATTTTTCCCCGCTGTACTTCTGCCATGAATAAATAAAACCAAATCTTAACAGCAACCTTTGTTTCAAAAGCAAAAAAAAAACAAAATCACAGTTCTACTCAGCTTGCAGGCACGGACAGGTTCAGGAGAGAGTTCTGAACCAAGGGAGGCCCTTGGCTGGTGTTAGCCACACAGGAAATTCACATGCTACTCAAATGAAATTGAAACTAGATCAGTGTGCAGTTACACAGTAACGTTAAGCTCCTCGTCTGAGTGTTGAGAAAGTGAGATTACCACATCTAAGTACCTACTTCTGATCATCTGTATGAAGCTACGAGGTAGACAAATTTTAAGCCTGTCGGGAAATGTCATTCACTTCCTGAAAATGGGGACGATCAAACCAACACCAATTAACCATTGAAGCCCATCTGGTTCACCCATGTCCTTTAGGGAAGGAAACCTGCTGTCCTTACCTGGTCCAGCCTACATGCGTCTCCAGATGCAAAGCAATGCAGTTGGCTCTCAGTTGCCCTCAACCTGCACTTGCAAGCCCCTCAGTTTAAGGGCCAGTGATGCCCACATCCAGGGAAAGAAATTTTTTTTTAAAAACCGTCACAAATAACAAGTACCATTGCTACCTTCACTGTCCTTCCAGGGGTAGAGGTGGTGGGTTTGGAAGGTGCTGCAGCGCATCTTGTAGATGGTACTCACTACTGCTGCACATTGGTGGTGGAGGGAGGGAGTATTGAAGGTGGGGGTTAACACGTTGATCAAGCTGGGGGAGGGAGGCGGGGGGCTGCTTTGTCCTGGATGGTGGCGAGCGTCTTCAATGTTGTTGGAGCCAAACCCATCCAGGCAAGTAAGGAGGCATTCCATTACACTCCTGTCCCACTATCAACAAGGCACATGTCAGGCTCTGGGAGGGGAGTTACTCACTGCAGGATTCCCAGCCTCTGACCTGCTCTTGTAGCCACAATATTAGTTTCTGCTCCACAGTAACCCTCAGAATGTTGATGGTGGGGGGAGATTCAGAGATTGTAACACCACTGAACATCAAGGGGCCAATGGTTACATTGTCTTGTTGGAGATGGTAACTCCCAGGATGTTGACAATGGGGCATTTGATGATGGTAGTGCCATCGAACATCAAAGGGGTGATGGGTTAGATTCCTGTTGGAGGTGGACATTGCCTGGCATCGAGAGACATGCCATGCCCGCAGGGTACTTGACATTGTGCAGGTGGACCAGGCCTAGGGAACACTGGGTCCTGGTACGTTCCACCTCCCTGACCGACTATCTTTCACCTCTTGAATCTGGTCATAAACACAACGCAGAAAACTACTCATCCGTTTATTGTAAATAAACCACTCCCCAAATACTGAAAAGAAAATGGCTCACGGAAACCCCAAACAAATTAAGTCTCCTTCAGCTGAAGGACTGGACCCCTGTGGAAATTCCAAACCAGCTGCCGTCTTATTGAGCACCGGGGCAGGGTCGAGGGGCCGAACAGCCTACTGCTATCTCTTCTGTTCCCATGCTAGGTTCTCTCCATTCACCTCTCAAGCGGAGGGAGAGCTAGCTATGCCCCCGAGTGTGGGTCAGTCCAGCAACAGTCCCCACCGGCAACGACCGGAAAAGTAACAAATACTCAGCAGCAAATCAGCGAGGCCTGGGGATGCGTACTGGAGCAAGGCTGAAACCTCGAACTCAGAGCTTCCCCGTGAGACGGGGTGGCGAGGGCGACCACGCGATGGGGGAAGGTGAAGCCTTGCCCTGACCTTGCTCCTTCATTACCAGCCTCCATACCCTGAGGACATGGCATGGTCTGTTTCCTCCCCTCCCCGGTCTTCGAAGACGCCTGTTGTCAATGGGGGATGGCACCGGATACTGAGGCAGGGCCTGTGACCACGTCGGTCAAGCGATGGGGTGGGGGAGGGTGCAGAGGCGACGTCGCGACTTGACCCCGGCGCAGGATCCTGTGGGGGGGGGTTTACTGATAAAGCCAACCCCGCTCCACCCATCCTCTTTCAGTCAAACTCATCACTCTCCTCTGGAGCTTGCCGTTCGAGACTCAACCAGTCAGCTGCAGAGACAACAAACACGGTCATTGTAAACTCACCGCCCTTTACAACAACAATCATACCAGCAAGGAGGTGGTCAGTCGACCCCTCTCGAGCCTGCTTACCCCCTTTCATTGCAATCGTAGCTGATCTGATCGTCCCACGTTCCCACCTACCCCCAATAGTCTTTCCTCGCTCATCGAGAATCTATTCACCGCCTCCTCAAAAATATTCAAAGTTTCTCCCCTCCATTGCTTTTTGAGGCAGAGAGCTCCAAAGACTCTCGGCCTTCTGAGAGAAAAAAAAAATCCTGATTTTTAAACAGTGACCCACCTCATTCTAGATTCTCCCCCATAAAAAGGAAATATCCTCTCCACATCCCCCCCAAGATTTTAGATGTTTCAATCGATTCTCCTTCTAAACTCCAGCAGATACAAGTCCAGTCCGTCCAGCGTTTCTTCCTTTAGCAGCCCAGCCCATTCCAGGGAAGTAAACGCTCCCTGAACTGCTTCCAACGCACTGGAATCCTTCCTTAAATAAAAGAGACCAATACTGTACACAATCCTCCAACTGTGGTCTCACCAGGGCATGGTTAATCTGATTGTCCTCACCTTCACTTTCCTGCCTCTTTGCAGGAATCTTTAACTCCTTCCCACCTTACTGATTAAAAATCTGTTTCAGTCTTGAACATATTTGATGACCCAGCTCTCTGCGGTAAAGATCCCCATGGACTCGCTCCCCTTGAAGAGAAGAAATTCCTCCTCATCTGTTTTCAACGGGCGACTCCCTTACTCTGAGATGATGCCCCTCTGGTCTTAAGATTCTCCCACACAACAGGAAACAACCTCTCCGCATCTCCCCTGTCAAGTCCCCCTAAGAATCCTATGTTTAAATAAGGTTGCCTCTCGTTCTTCTAAACCCCAACAAGCACAGGTCCAAGCTATTCACCCTCTCATCATAAGGCCATTCGTTCTGCGACTCCTTCATCAGCTCTACACTCCCCATCAATCCCTCCACCACACCCGGTACCTTTCCCTGCAACCGCAGCAGGTGCTACACCTGCCCCCTCTCTCACCTCCCCCCTAGGCCCCAAACAATCCTTCCAGATCCGGCAGAGACTCCCCTGCACTTCATCCAACCTTACCTATTGCATCCGTTCCTCCGCACATGGTTTCCTCCATCATCGGGGAGACCAAACGCAGACTTGGGGACCGGTTTGCAGAGCATCTTTGCTCTGCATGCACCAACCAACCCGACCTTCTGGCTGCCATCCATTTTAACCACCCCCCCCCCCC